ACTACTACTACTACTACTACTTACGACGACGACGACGACTACGACTACGACTACTACTCCCACTGCTTCTGCTTCTGCTGCTGCTACTGCCGCTGCTACGGACTGAAACTGCAACTGCAACTGATACTGCTACTGCTACTGCTACTGCTACGGCTACGGCTACGGCTACTGCTACTGCTACTGCTACTGCTACTCCTACGACGACGACTGCAACTCCAACTCCTACGCCTACTCTTACTCCTACGGCTGATCTTCTCACCCCCACTGAGACCCACACTCACGATCCCACTCCCACACAAGACTGGCATTAGTTGCATATCAACCCTAAACCCTAAACCCTAAACCTTGAACCCTAAGCCTCTCTCAGGCATTGAGCCTGCGACCTTCCACCCGCAGGCCCTGAACCGTAGACGCCTCAAGCCTTGAAGCCCAAAACTAAAAAAACGAAAAGAGCCTTAACTACGGTTGATGATATAAATCGGAATGCACAGTATTAATTCCCGTAGTTTCGGGTCCTTAAGGCAGTGCAGGATTTATTGTTTCAACAGTAGTAGTAGAGTGGGTAACCTTTACCTCCTTGGCGTATTAATTTCCCTACATAATCCCGACAGTTCGCCACTAGTTCGCCTCAGACGGGTAAGTTAAAGCTCTCGGAGACAATGGTAGACCCCAATTCCTAAACCCTAGGGGAAAATGGTAGACGCCAGGTGGCAGCCTATTTCCAGACTCTTGATCTGGCGACTCGGTCCTATCTACGGTTTGGGGTTCAGGGTTTACGGGAGGTTTAGGGTTTCAGTGTCAGGGAGGCACGGTCTAGGCTCGTAGTGCTTTGCTTCCAAAGTCCCATCAAAGAATATGCAAGGCCAAACATAAGGCTGAAGTGGACTGGGACAGGAATTTCGTAGGAGTACCTAGTGGACCTAGTGGTTCTTCCTAAAGGAGCACTTGAAGTGTTTGGGGTTGAAGGGTATGGGGTTAAAGAGTTGAGGTGGTAGCCCTAAACCCTAAACCCTAAACCTGCTGAAACAATTCCAGACGCCGTGCAAACCGCAAACCATGAGCATTGTATTTCCTGTTTTTATTATCCCTGAGGGTCCATGTGCCCAAATAGTACGTACTTTGGCCTTAGTGTAATCCCTGTGAATGTACTTTGGGGGCCAATGTATATACTATTTGGGTACATGGACCCTTAGGGTATGATAAAATCAAATCCCATGTGCTACCGACGACTCTGAAGCATTTCACCCTAAACCCTAAACAGATGACGCTAGGACCTTCCACTCTAACCCTTGAAACCTTAAACCCCAAACCCTAAACACTGCCAGAAAAAGCCGCGAAGCCACCCAAAAAACCCAAACCCGAAGCCCTCAAACCTAAAACCCAAACGCTTCAAACTACACACCCAAAGGCCGTCGCCGAGCTCGAAATGAAGCCCTAAGAGCTCTTTGAGCCGGTACCGTCCGGTTTAGTTCTTATTAGGGTTTAGGGTTTAGGGTTTAGGGTTTTTCTTAGGCCTTGAAGGTTTAGGCTTTGGGCCGTAAAGGCTTAGGGTTTAGGGTTTACATAGGCCTTTAAGGTTTAGGGTTTAGGGTCTAGGGGACATGAGCCCTTTGAGGCGTGAGCTTTGATCTAGTCCTTATGGAAACCTTGAGCCAATCGCCCTGAGCTAGGAAGTAAGGTTTGCAATCCCAGCTTTCAACTCGACGTCTGATCCCGTAGTATTAGCTCCCTTTATATTGTGGTAAACTAGGGTCTGCATTAGCCAGCAAAAGGAATACATAACTTACATAATCATACGTGTATATATATATATATATACACACTGCAATAACATACTGGAGGGTACATAAGGTAATGCACAATGTTGTCCATCAGCCGTATGCTGACGCTACTCTACTCTCTCGGGCCGCGAGATGAAGGCTTCACGCTCATGCTATGGCTATCATATGCCGAAATGATGACAATTTTGACTTGTCAAGTTCTGTCCCTCAATGTAAGCATACTGTAATATACCTTGACAACCTTCTTCTACTTGTTGATTATTTTTGAAGACCCCTAAATAAGGACTAGGGTGGAAGAACGGCTTGGAGGCTCTTTGTAAGGCTTCCTGAGCTTTGTGGAAGCATGGAATTGGGGTCCGAAGTGTTAAATGCTAGGGCGTGGGTCTACAAGGCATGTCTACCGACCAGGGCAGCATTCATAAGTCCCAGGTTCCAGTTGCCCTTAACCCAAAACCCCTAAGTCCCCAACCCTTGCGCACGCTCTCCTTTTTCGAAAAAGACCAGCTTGACCATGGGCAAAGACGCAGTCTCAGTAAGATCACGGCCAGTGATGTCTCCAAGGCCTGCATCCCATCAGTGCCATAACCAGAATCAAGCTAAACCCTGAACCCTAAACCCTAAACCCTAAACCCTAAACCCTAAACCCTAAACCCTGAACCCTAAACACTAAACCCTAAACCTTGAGTCCTCTGCAAAGCTTGAGTCACGGCGACGCTGGCGTCAATCAGGTCTGTGCTTTGCCGCAGGGGAGTTTAATTACTCACCTGTTTGAGAGTTCTGCTATGTTTGGTATAGCCAGCTGGCTGACCCACCGCCCCGACACTATTTTTTGATGTTCGCTCGCTTTGCCCCCTTCTCTTTTGGCTTGCGATGCACATTTCCACGCCTTGTGCTTTGCTGCGGATGTTTCCTAATGTGTCGATGTCGTTGGCGTTCTTGTTTTTGGCTCGTGTCTAAACTCTGGTTTTGGGAGTTGTGTGTGGACCTTATGCTGGAACTGCCGTGGTTTGCTTTGGATGTGTTCGCTTTTGTCAATGTCAGTCTTGCCTGATTGAGAATACAGCATCCATGGCCCAACCATGATGACGTCCACGGTTTTTTCCGGTCTCAGAACGGAGCATCCACGGCCCGACTATGAACACGTCCATGGCCAAATCTGTTCTGAGAACACAGCATCCATTCATGGCCCGACCATCGTGACGTCGATGGTCTAGTCCGTTCATGATGAATCATGATGACGTGTATGGTCCAGTCCGTTCTGACAGCATCCATGGCCCGACCATGATGACATCCATGGTCTGATCCGTTCTGAGATCAGAACATCCATGGCCTTACCATGATGACGTGTATGGTCCAACGAACAGAGCATCCATGGCCCAATCACGATCACGATGACGTTCATGGTCTATAATCCGCACGGTCTGTTTCGTCTGCATGCGTTCACAAGTTGTGTTTGTATTTCCGGGCCTTTCCAACTTCCTTAAAGACGCATATCTTTTAAAAAAATGCAGCAGGTCGTGAGTTTTCCGGAAATGTAAAGAAATCCAGTGCAGCCAGTCAGCCGCCTATGGTGTAACCAGACGATACTCGCAAACCTATTCTAATAGTTGCTTAAGCCGACTAATGTTGTTTTTTTGAGGCGACGAGTCCCCGAACTGCTGCACCGAGGATGTGCACGAGAGTGCAGCGCTCTTCCACCTCCTTGATAATGGTGACGGTGAGGCAGGAACCCAAAGGGTCTAAGTACCCATATAGTAGATATTTTGGGCCCCAAAGTATCTACCATATAAGTACTTAGACCCTTTGGGGAATAGGGTTCAGGATTGAGAGGTTTCGGCTGCAGGGACTGAAGGAATTTTGTTTGTTGTTGCTAACGTTGATCGTTTTTTGCCGTTGTACCTTGCTCGAATGATGCGTGGTGGATATTCTGAGAGATTCGCAATGAGGGAAAGGCAGCAAGCCACGGGTCTCGACGGCTGCCACTCCATCACCACTACCACCACCACCACTGCTGATGATGACACCCCCACCTCATGTTCAGTAAAGGCCTAATAAAGTTTGTCGATCGAAGGATTATAGTTTAAGGTTGTGTAGCACTCTCGCCGAGTCTCACTTCCTGCGACGTCCTGTTGCTGGAGACTACATACGGTTGCCATGTTCAATACCCAGCAACAGTCAGACGGCGTGCA